TTGTGTGTACATTTTATTTATTTGGATACTTATTCTAAAGTTCAAAGCAGTTCACAGACATTTTTTTATCCTCTCAATAATGCTGGAATAAAATATGGGATAAGATTAGATGATTCTCCTCTGACTGCAGAAAAAAAATTTGCTCAAAGTCAGGAAGGATTATTATTTTTTTCTCTTTTTTTGAGACGGAGTCTCACTCTGTCACCCAGGCTGGAGTGTAGTGGTGCAATCTCTGCTCACTGCAAGCTCCGCCTCCCAGGTTCACACCATTCTCCTGCCTCAGCCTCCCGAGTAGCTGGGACTACAGGCGCCCGCCACCACGACCGGCTAATTTTTTTTTTTTTTGTAGTTTTAGTAGAGATGGGGTTTCACCGCGTTAGCCAGGATGGTCTCGATCTAAAGTCAGGAAGGATTCTTTAAGGCTGAGAATGGCAGGCAGAGCTTGCCTGCAGTCAAAGAAGAATCACATCATCATATCCCATACTTTATTCTAGTATTACTGAGAGAATAAAGTTTCAAGATCAGGATTCTTTCAAGAGAGGAGCTAGGTAAGATACTAAACATATGAGGAGTGTAGTTTAATTATTTGTGCTGCACTTTGCATTTCCTTGTTTCATGAGCACTTTATTCCTATTTCACACTATTCTCCCTTTTACCTATAGAAGGATAGTATGCAATTTCCAGGAAACAAAAGTACAGTACCCTATATCCTTCCTACTCCCTCAATGCATTTCCTGTTGCAAACATCTGGTTTTCTACATCTTAGCTGCACTTGTATAACCGAGGGACAACTCAGCTGTAACACTCAAACACAGAACAGCAACAGTGACAACAAATAAGGTAAGCTTTCCTGAAACAGACACAAATTCCAAATGTGCTCTACAAAAGTAGAACGGCCAGAGATATTCCAACCACAACTCCCAAAACCAAGTATCAAGTCTTTGCACAAGGTCTTTGAACTTTTTCCTCTCTCTTTACTAGAGAACCACTACTCCATTTCAGGTCTTGTAACAATCTGTCTGAATCCACAACTGCATGATCACTCTCAAATACTATTTTTGCCTTAAGCACCTTAGAACCTACAGAAGCCAACTGGATTTAAATCAAAATTATTCAGTTTAGGTCCACCAACGGGCCCTACCACACCACTTATTTGAACAGTCAAACTTCGAGTTCCTACAGAAAGAATTAGGCAAAGCTTCTGGTGCCCTCAGGCCTAGGGATGCAAAGTACAGAATCATACCTGGCCTTCAGGGTGTGTCTACACCCTTCTAATTCTGCATTATCCCAGGTCTGACAGGAAAGTGGGAACCCAATTCTGCTTCACAGTAAAGAAAAGCTCACCAGCTACTTCATCCCTCCTCTAATCTCCCTTATGTGGGGATATCATGTACAAGACCACCATCACACTACCTACTGTATCCCCAAAGTCCCTCCAAAATGGAAAAATCTTAAATGAGCAGGTCTATAACCATCCAGACATTCTCCTAGGAGCCAGTCTTTGTGCCAGAGTTGGCTACTCTGCCAACAAGTGCCCTAGCATGCTGTACAAACTGTTCCCTCAAAGTTGAATTTTCAAATTATAGTTTCCTATTAACTCTGTATTCTTAGTGAGACGTTAAGCTCATGTGATGATGGCAGAACCCAAATTTTTGTATCCCCAATTTGTGGCCCAGTATTTTGTGCAAGATGGATAGGCACTCAATATCTGTTGAACAGACAAGTAACATTCAATCAGTAAACAGTTATGAGGAAGGTGCAGATTCTGAACTGGATTCTGTCACAGCTTCATTCTCCCACAGAAACAGGTCTGCCTGATTAAACTACTGACACACTGTAGATCAGACACCTCTCTCATGGGCCACTGGACACTCTTCTCTAGAGGGGGATGCTTTGCAAAGACACCTCAATTCCTTGATGGGTTAGCATGGCCAAGCAGAGGAGAACGTCTGATACAACTAAAGCAGCTGTTAACATTCACAGGGAATCTGGTTGGGTCAAGATTTTTAATTGCAGACAACAGAATTCCACCTGATTAGTTTAAGATAATGGTTTATAAGGGATAAAAACAGTTTACAGAATCACTGGGAGAGTTCAAGAAACACAGACCAAGGTTCCAAGAACAATTCTTAAAACCACATGGCAGAACTGGACTGCCAAGGGAGTTGCTGTCTCTGGGGTGGATCAGGAAGCTGCCAAATAAAAGCCACCAGCCAAATCAGGAAGTTGACACTATAGCTGCCAATTCCAAAACCATATCTCCTTTGTCTAAATGTGTGCCACCAAAACAGATGGGCCCGCTGCTCTCAGAACATGACCTCCTCGTGACTACAGCAATCTTGTACAAGTACTTTGTATTGGGGATATCTAAATATCATCAAGGAGACTTAGTTGCATTCCTTACCTGAGTCTAGGAAAAGTACTTTTTAGCTTTCTAATCTCTCCATGTCAGAAGAGTCACTGGAATGGGTGTGGAGACCACCAAACCACAGTCCATCCCTCAAAGAGCATTTCTCTCCACAGATCCATTAGGAAGAATTCTCAGAACACTCATTGGTAAGAATTCAATACTCTAAGGCAGTAGGATCTCAAAATCACCAGAGGTCCTATTAGAATCAGATTCTGATACAGTAGATCTGGGTTGGGGTCTGAGATTTTCCATTTCTAACAAGCTCCTGGCTGATGCTGATGTTGCTGGTCCATCAATTACACTCTGAGTAGCAAGAGCTTAAACCAGGCATTATCTATGGTTCACCACAGTTTTTATAAATAAGGCTTCACTGGAACATAGCCGTGCCCATTTGTTTATGTATTTTACTGTCTATGGTTACTTTTGCCCTATAATGGCAGAGTTAAGTAGCTGTGACAGAGACTGTATGGCCTGTATAATAAATTTTTTCTCACTCTAAAATTATATATTATCTATTCATTTTTTTTTAGAGTAAACATGTATTGGCACATTCCAATGTAAGTTAAATTTCTAACAAAATAAACATTTTATCTTCTCTTATTGGTCATGCTTTTCAATTGCTTTAAATTAAAGTCTAAGAGATTTCTCAAAGTCAAATCCTAGACGGTGAAGGCTCTAGTAGTTTAAACATGGAACTGATATACCTTTTGCCAGGAAGTTTAAGCACAAGCATGCGAAGCAACTCTGGAACACCAACATAGAGAGTCCGCTGGGGGACCTTCTGGGGAAAATTTCTTTTCTCTCAAATAAAGAGACCCATGAGGTAAAACTGTGTGCCCTACATTTGAAAAGAAAGTGTAAGGATAGAGCTGTGATAGCCATCTTGTCACCACAGGAGACAAGCCCGCAAACAAAAGCCAATGTACCAAGGATGGCAGAACAGAAAGACGGGAAGCACCTGGGTTCTTAATACTGCTGAGTCAGCCAACCTGGGACGACTTATTATGTGATATAATAAGCCTATTACAGAACAGTAATGGGCATAATATTATTTTCAGCTGCATACATCCTACGTGGTAGAGTGATACATAATTCACAAAGGATATTCATACTCATGTTCTCATTTGAACCTCATATTCCCCTCCCTCCCTCCACGATGGAGTAAAAAGGAAGATATTCAAATGAAGGACAAAGGTCCAGGGTGTTTAAAGTTATTTTCTCATAGGTCACACAGTCATTAACTGACAGTAACAGAAACCAGGATTCCCACGTCAATGTTCTCTTCATTACACCCTCTCTTGATTCCATTTGGTTCTAACCGGGTTAGCCTCCTGTAAGAATGCCTTCTCATATCCTCTCTGTCAATGTTTATCACTTTCTATACTCTGACAATTTCCATTTAGGGTATTTCTTCAGCATCTGCATTGTTCCAACCATTGTTCCATCTATCAAAGAAGCATGTATTAATTACTTTCTGTTCACCTAGCTGTGTAATAGACACGGAAAGTAAGGATTTTTGATGGGAAACGTGATTTTTGCCCTCAGAGAGAACAATTTAGTTATGGGTGTAAGATAGATGCTACAACGACAGTAACATAAGCCAATGTAAGTGTAGGAATTCAGAGCGAGAACCAAGACTTCCTTGGATATTCCAAGGGTAAGATTATTCTAAGTGCACTTCACCAAAAGCTGGATCCAAAAGAAACACAGAAATTAGACTTGCTGTAAGTGCTTTTTTATATGTTCTTAGAATCAATCTTAAATTCCCTCTAGAACAAGGACATGGATTTCAAAAGCACTACCTATGTGACCAGGGCAAGTAAACTGTGGCAATAAAGCTTACACAACTGAGTTATGAGTCCTAAATGAGATAACAAGAAGAGCAGAGCATGGTGTCACCACAAGAGGCTATGGGAAAACAATAGTTCGTTTCTCTGGGTTTTGAATTGCAATCTGTTTCTCAGTTTCCCCCAGACTGTAAATTCTTGAAATAAGAGAACTAAGGGTCCATGACTTTATTTCTTCTATTTATTCTGGAGTATCTAGTAGGATATCATGGCCCAGAAACTCAACACATGTATGTGGAACATCTTGTGACTAAATAAAAGAGAAGATACTATTATCTCTCAAGTTGTACCATTAACAGTATCTGGCTAACAGAGTCACTGCTTTAGCCACAGTTCCATGGCTAGGATGCAGTAAGCACATGAAAACAAGGGCCTCCTCCAAAGCTTAATGACAATGAGTCATTTATACTAATGCTGCCTGTTCCTCTTACTCCTTAGAGGTGAGGAACGATTTGCTTCTTGATTTTGTGCCACAGGTAATAGGCAGTGTTGGAAGAAATCCATGGGAAGTCACAAAAGTCTGGCATAAAAAGTCATGGGAAGTCTGGCATAGAGTGCCTGGTTAACATTACCATGTCACAACTCCATCACACGGTAATAAAGGAGGGACCGGGTAACCATTCATTGCCCTTTTTCTGTGACTGTACATTTATTCAGTGAGTGCTGATTTATTAAAGAACTACACAGATAGGACAGGTTCATGATGACGAGGCATAGCTGTGCCCTCTCTTCTCCATGCATACCTCCTCACAGACTTCACGAACTGCTGCCACACTTGGCTCCTCCTCAGGCTCCATGCCTCCTCCAGGGACAATCCATCTGTCTGGATGGCGACTACTGCTCACAAGTAGCACCTGTTAAGTCACAAAGGTTGCATGGGGGGGGTTAAAAATTCAAAAAGACACATCCACACAAATTCAGAGTTTAAACACCACAAACATCAAAGTAACCAAGACCCATTCTTTGTTTATGCCTTCCCAAATCACTTCTTGCAAAGTAGCTTTTGTTTCTATTTGAAAAAACAGGCAATCAGCCAGTAAAAGCAGAAGGGCATCTGAAGACCATTATCTCTACACTCCCCTCAGACGCTCAATCACCTGCTCATTTATCCCCTCCTTGTTCCTTTTACCCTTTGGACACAGACCTGACAAGGTGGAAAAAAGACTTAAAAAAAAAAGAAGATTGTCACTGATGAGCCTGTCAGCACTGAAAAAGCTGGCCAGAAGACAGAAGGCCCTTGACCATGATTGCCGCTGTGATCCAACACTTCCCCACCAAGTTTCTCACTCATGAACTGGGAGCTGTATCCCAGTTCCTGCTCCATCAGATGGCCACAGGCCAATACAATACACCACCCTAGACTCTAAGGGACCCTAATTCTCCTGGCCACATGAGAAGTAGAAAAATTCCTTTCATCACATTTTCAGCTAAAATAAAACCGGACTTTTTTTTAAAGACTCAGCCAGCATTCTGGTCAGAGTTGAAATAAAAATCTAGAATTTGCCTAGTTCCTTTTCCTTCCTTATCCCTCTCTGTAGGAAAGATGCTAAACAAAGTCAGTTGGACTCGCTGTTTGGAGGCTGAGTTGAGTTGGCATTATTTCCAAAGGAAGTAAAGGAATCTTCAACTGCTCCCTAAACCATTACTTTCTGATGATGACCTGTGAGCCTACAAACCAAACTCTGCAACCATCCTTGTTGCCTCAAATGAAATGCTACTTCCTCTCTGGCCCTTACAGATTTCACCACTGCCTTCTAGTTAATGACATTCCAGTTATCCCCAGCCTCTTCCTTGAGGTCTCTGCAGCTATGGACCCTTGGAAACTCTACCTCCATCCTCAGTCTCTCTTTTCCCTGTCATAAGAGATTCTTCTGATGCTCATCTACAAAATATGTGATCTGTAGATTCATAGAAGATCGTGGTGTTATGGGAAGGAAATCCATGAATCCATATTCAGTCACTTGTGTATAAGCCATGGACTGAAAAATTGTCTTAAACTTACAAGTACTATTTTTCAAATATATTTTAAGTTCTGCTTTGATTAATACAGTGCAAAATAATTTAAAATACTATGAAATCCACAGTTTTTGGTTGATATGTACATATACTCAGTTAAAAGGTACTATAAGAGCCAGGTGTGATGGCTCACATCTGTAATCCTGGCACCTCGGAAGGCCAAGGCAGGAGGACTGCCTGAGCCCAGGAGGTCAAGACTAGCCTGGACAACATGATGAGACCTCATCTCTACAAAAAAACAAAACAAAACAAAACAAAATACAACATTTAGCCAGACTTAGTGGTGCACACCTGTGGTCTCAGTTACTTGGGAAGACTGCTTGAGCCCAGGAGTTTGAGACTGCCGTGAGCTATGATCAAGCCACTGCATTCTAGCCTAGGCCACAGAGTGAGACCCCCAACTCAAAAAAAAAAAAAAAAAATCCTCTCATTGGACTATCTCAGACCTTATACAAAATCAAAATAGACCAACAACCTAAACGTAAGAGCTAAAACTATAACACATTTAGAAGAAAACACAGGAGTAAACTGTCATGATCTTGAATTTGGCAAGATATGCCAAATTCTTAGATATGACGCATGAGCAACAAAAGGGTAAACAAGATAAATTGATCTTTACTGAAATTAAAAACTTCTGTGTAACAAAGGACATAATCAGGAATGTGAAAAGACAACCTACACAACAGGAGGAAATATCTGCAAATTCTATATTTAATACAGGTACAGTATTTAAAACAACGAAAAGATAAACAGCATTTCTACAGAGAAGATATACAAATGGCTAATAAGCACATGAAAAGATGCTCAACATCATTAGTCATTAGGGAAATGCAAAGTAAAACCAAAATGAGATACTACTTCACACTCACTAGGATAGCTATAATTCAATCAACCAAACACAGCATAAGTAGTGCTGGCAAGGATGCAGAGAAATTGGAATCCTCGTACACTGCTGATAGGAATGTACAATGCTTCATTCAGCCACTGTGGAAAACAATTTGGTTGCTCCTCAGTAAGTTAAACATAAAGTTACCATTAGATCTAGTAACTCCACTGCTAGGTAAGTAACCAAAAGAACTAAAAACAGGTACTCAAACAGATACTTCCATACAAATGTTTATAGCAGCATTATTTACAATAACCAAAAGGTAAAAACTCAAATATCCAATAAGAGTGAATGAATAAACAAAATGTGGCCTATACATACAATGGGATATTATTCAGCCATTAAAAAAACGAATTACTGACAGATGCTACAATATGGATGAACCTTGAAAACATGCTAAGTGAAGGAAGCCAGGCACAGAAGGTCACATATGGTATGATTCCATGTATATGAAATTCACAGAATAAGCAAATCCAGAGAAACAGAAACCAGATTGGTGGTTACCAGGAACTGGAGGAAGGGGAAAACGAGTAGCAACCGCCTAACAGGTACAGGGCTTTATTTGGGGAAGAGGAAAGTATTCAGAAAGTAGATATGAAATGGTGATTGCTAAATGCCAATGAATTGTTCATTTTAAAATGGCTAATGTGGCCAGGCGCGGTGGCTCAAGCCTGTAATCCCAGCACTTTGGGAGGCCGAGACAGGCGGATCACAAGGTCAGGAGATCGAGACCATCCTGGCTAACAGCAGTGAGTCTGAGATCTCTGGCCCACTGGCACTCCCCGCCTGGCGACAGGGCGGAGACCTCCATCTCAAAAAAATAAATAAATTAATAGTAAATAAAATGGGCTAATGTTATGTGAAATTTCATTTTCATTAAACAAACTAGTTTGCAATTCACAGTTTTTATTATTATTTTTTTTTTGAGATGGAGTTTTGCTTCCTGTGCGCAGGGCTGGATACAGTGGGCAATTCCTGGTCACAGGGCAACCTTCTGCCTCCTGGGTTCAAGTGATTTCTTCCCGCCTCAGCCTTTCCGAATAGCTGGGATTACAGGCGCCCGCCACCCAATGTCCAGCTAGTTTTGTATTGTTAGTAGAGATTTTGGGCGTTTCACCGGTGTT